AAATTTGAGATTTCATTATCTTGTTTTCCCATCTGTACGTTGCACTACATCAGTTGGTATCAGAGACCAGTCACGATCAACGATGCCGCCGTGGAGACATGATGCTGCAGATGACAGGCGTGACGCCGCCATCGACTACCTGAGCCGCCAGACCGAGGAGTTTGGCTGCCATGGGTCGTCAGATTGTGGATTTGTCCGCGGGGATCGCGGACATACGAGTGGCTCTCCAAACCATCGTTCAGGGCAAGCAAGCGAACTTCGATTTCGCCAGAGGACGGAGCGGACGCAAGGGAGCACGCGGTGGGAGAGGCGATCGGGGCTTTGGCGGGGCGCCTCGCAATCGGTCGCCGCCACCATTGTACGAAAAGGAGGACGACAAGGACACCTTTGTCGGATGGTGAACCTGTTCGATGTTCGCGTGGCTCAAACGTGAAGATGAGGGCTTCGGCGATAACCTGTTACAACCTTGTAATTTTCGTGATTAATTTTCTGTAATTTTTATTATTATGTAAGATAAAGGAGAAAGAGTATAGCGTTGGGGAAGAAGGGAGCGGGGAGAGAGAGAGAGAGAGAGAGAGAGAGAGAGAGAGAGAGAGAGAGAGAGAGAGAGAGAGAGAGAGAGAGAGAGAGAGAGAGAGAGATTGTTATGCTCCAAAAACATGCATGCTTTCCCACTATTCTCCCATTAGTAACCACATATGGATCCCACTAAATACAAGAAACGGGCCAAACACTTGCCCAACAATCACATAATAACATAAACCACTACTTAAGAAAAATACCTTATAATATTAAATGGGAAGTGGCCCAACTCAAAGCACAAGAGCAGAACCAAGTCAATCCATGGAAACCGGCCCAATTTCCTCAAGAGCCCTTTGAGCCTTTTTCTAACCTCGCCCTTCCGCCTTCTCCAACATTTAACCCCTTCTCCTCGCCGTCGATCGCAAAAACCCTCTCATTATGGCCAAACTCCAATGCCCCACAGAGCAAATCTCCACCTTTATCCTCTTTCCCGTTCGTCAATCCTTTTTCCTGCTTCAGGTTCATGACATTACCCCCGCCATATTATATCCTTGACCCCAAGGATCAGTTTTGGGAGCTTACATAGGCATCTAATCCTGGGTAGTCAGAGGATGAGGTACAATTGTAATCTCTACATGCTATATACATTCTACATATAAAGCACCTTGTCATCTTATTTCTCTGTACTGACTTGAGCGTCAGAGTACTCACGTCGAAAATCACTCCAACACTTGTTTTGCAGGTCATCAGCGACTCAGGGATGATCGAGGGTCTTTTGCAGCTAGTCCAACATAGATCAAGGTCTCCGACACATCAACATCGTAAGATTCGATCTGATTGTTAATTTGTTGCGCATAGTGATATAGATTTATGGATTATGGTTCCTTAATAATAATATGCATATTAATAATAATAATACATATATATAAGTTTGATTATTTTTAAAATAGCAATTGTTTCCTGCCAAAAAATATTATTTAGTATCTTAGGAAAGTAATAAAGTAATTTATAGTATAAAGTTGGCGAAATATTTTTGGTTTGAAATTTTATTGGAGCACTCAATTTTTGGTATGAAAATCATGAAATTGTATTTGGAAGTGTTTCCAAGCATAAAATGATTGACCAATTAAATGACATGTTTTTCGTGATTTATGCTACATTTATATTTTATTAGTACAACGCCCGTGTATTACACGGGTGCTTGCTAATTTTTTCTTTAAAATCTAAAATTATTGAGAAAAAGTAGTTGAAAATTTAAATAACTTTTATAAAAATATATATTATTATATATTTTGTATGACACTTTTTATTTGTGTGACTTACTTGTGTTATATTATAATAATTTTTTTAACTTACAACATATAACTACGTTAAAAAAAAATATATCAACTAAGAAATAATTTTATTTTCTAATAAAATTTAATAAATATTATTTTTTATTATAATAAAGGAAAATATTATTTATTTATTTTATATATACAATATGGATGTCAAATCGAAGATAATGAAAAGATGATTAATTTGATATATTATATATGTAAAACCGATAAGAAATACAAAAGTTATCAATTTTTAAAATACATTTATAATTCAATAGCTAATTGAAGGAAACAAATCAAAAGTCAGGGATATATTAGTCACTTAGTGTCTCACTATGTAAATTATAAAGAATTAAAGGGTTATATTAGTACAAGTGATATTAAAATACCTAAGTTAGCTAAATAATATTTATGGAATGTCCAAACCTAGATATTAATTATTAATATATCAATATTATTTGTCCGAACCTAATTACGAAGCATGATTCTTCGCCAAGTAGGATTTCGAAGCACCAGAAGCAGCCACGTAGGCTCAGCGCATTCGGGAATTATATATAGGGGCGATTTCTTTAAAAAAAAAAAAATAAGTTGCATCATGTATATCTATATCGAAATTACAAAAATGTGTACCCAATTGATTGCTTTATTTTTGTACTATCTACAATTTTAATAATAAATTGTAATATATAGTCATTATCTATACAATTTATTTACGGCCATATATTGAGCAAAAATAGTACATGTTGTATGTTAAACATTAGGGCTGGGCAAAAAATTCGAACCGAACCGTTGAATCGTAGATCCGAATCGAAATCGAACCGAATTTTCAGTTAACCGGGGTGCTCGGTTCGGTTACAAATACCTCAAAGGAAGTATTTGCTCGGTTCGGTTCGGTTACAGTTTTTAGGATTTTTTTACCCCAGTTAACCGAACCGAACCGAACCATATATTATATTAAAATTTATAATATATATATATTATATTATATATTATATATTAAATTTATATATATTAAACTAACTTATATTTATATATATTAAACTATATATATTAGGTTTGCTCGGTTCTCGAATTAACCGAACCGAGCAAACCTAACACAGAATTGTATTAGGTTTGCTCGGTTCGGTTCGGTTAATTCGCGAATAGTAGGATTTTTTTCGGTTAACCGAAAATTCGGTTAACCGAGATTTTCGGTTCGGTTTCGGTTAGCAAGTTCGAATATTTGCTCGGTTCGGTTCGGTTAGCAAATATCTGAAAAAACTCGGTTACTCGAACCGTGCCCAGCCCTAGTAAACATATAAATCTTAACTAAAAAATATATGGTCGCAATAATTACTGTATATAATGAATATATTAAAACAAATTGTATATCCGGTATATTACGTTTGATTATATCTATCATATATTATGTTATTATTAATAAATGTCTGAAGTTTACTGTATAAAATGGATGATTTTATTTTAGTATGAAATGTCTGAATTTAATGGTATGAAATTTACTCGTATGGATAGAAATGTATTTAAAAATTTTAAAAACAAAATAACTGGTATTAATTTTATTTGGTATGGGTATGAAAATAATGTCTGAATTTAATGGTATGAAATTTACTCGTATGGATAGAAATGTATTTAAAAATTTTAAAAACAAAATAACTGGTATTAATTTTATTTGGTATGGATATGAAAATAGAATTAGTTGATTTGTTATAAAATCAAAGTGATATGATTTTTTAATGTTGAATTGAATTGGTCTCTGCATGCTGTATAATTTGAGTGAATTCATTTGTAAATAGACACATATAAACAAAAATAAGTTGCAAGACGTTAATTTATATATTCCATAAAATTGATTATATTTATTAATTTCCACCGTTGTTTAAGAAGTTAAAAAAAGGAGGTAAAACATGAAATTAATGGTTGGACATAAAGATAACGGGCTAGCCTTAGCAGTTTCGGGCTAGCCCTAGCGGGCTTTGAATTAAACGGTCCGGGTAAAAAAAAGTCCGGATTTAAACGGACTACCAAAAAAGAGACTTAACCCTAACCCTAGCGGGCTTCGGGCTAAACGGGCTATGCGGGCTATAATATTAATAATAACAATAATATTAATAATAATATATAAAAAAATCAAAAATAAAAAGAGTAAAAAATTTATTAAAAAAATAATGTTAAAAATTATTTTTAACGGCTATTTAGTATGTACCGTCTATCACTATGTTTCATGTGCTTTCTATTAGTCGTTCTGATTAACTTAAATATTTTGGTATGAAGTACAATAACAATATTGTTAATAACTATCTTTCAAAATCATAATAATTCATTACAACTCATACTTACATGTGAAGTGGAATACCAAAATATTAATATACAAGTAATTTAAGAGCATATTACTTACTTGATGCAAATATTTACACCGTCCAACCATAGTTAAACGGGCCAGCCCTGACAGGTTTCGGGCTAGCCCTAGCGGGCTTCGGGCTAAAAGGTTTGTGCCTAAAAAGCCCTGATTTAAACGGGCTATTAATAAAAGGACCTAACCTTGTTTTTTTTCGGGCTAAACGGGCCGGCCCGTCGGGCCAAAGACTATTTAACATCTCTGGTTGGACAGCTATAATAGTTTACCGCCAACAATACAACACCCAAATAAAATTTTATTTTCAATACTCCTACTAAAGTTTTCACTCATTCTATCAACCTCAATTCAAACATATAATTTTACCGAAATAATTATTTTATTGAATCACCTTGTAGTTAAATCGAATTTTTGAATAAAAATTTTAAAATGATTCTTATTTTAGAATGATTGTAATATAAATTATTATAAGTTATGTGCACCGTACGAGTTGTGTATTGATTTTAAACAGACATGTTTTATATAATTTTACACAATTTAAATTTCACATAACATATTTAATAAATTAATATAGGCCAGTAAATTGCATTACATATTGATTCTATATGTTTAATTTATAAATTTATTTAATGAGTATTTTAATTTATAAATATTAATGAATATTTTTTACCCAATCGATTCGTACTAATATTTACAAAAGAAGAAAAAAAAAAAAAAAAAAAACTGATATATGCATCCGGGTGATGATGATCCAATTGCCCTAACCAGAGAAGTAGCCCCTATTGGCGGGAACTCTCTCACCCCCAATGTCGAGAATTCCAGAGCTTAACTCTCTCTTCGCAACGTTCGCATCCCATCTCCAAGCCAGAGATCCAACCGCCGACGATGAAGTAGACCTGTCAGCTGCTAATCTCAACCGTACACTCAACCTGAGTGAGGCTCCTAGAGTTCGCGTTCTGGACACCGCCCTCTCGCTCATGGGCTTTACTGCTCCTCAGGTCTCTGCCTTTTGCCATGCTGAAGTCTTGTCGTGCTTTGTTATTTGTGCATTTCGTTAATTCCCTTCATTCCTTTTCGTTGCGCGATTTGTTCGTTGTAGGTCTACGACTATGGAATCGAATTTACATTGAGAACAATTATTGCTGTTTTGCGTTCTTCAATTGAGTGTAAGGTGCTGAAAGTCGAAGAAGAGCAGGTTCTGAGAATAGGAGGATTAGTTTCGAAACGGGACTGTGTTGATGTTATGGAATGGTGTATCGATATTTTGCGGAAATTGAATGGGCACAAAGGTCTTATTTTTCCTTAGGCATTCATTTGCTTCCATTTTGTTCATGTTACAGTCTACGCAAGGTTGATATTTAGTTGAACTGGTTTTGCCAATGCATATGGGAGAAAGGTATTGCCATTTTTAAGACTTGTGGGGGAGTGAATATGTTAAACTCATTCAGTAGCTTTCCGTAGATTTTTATGGCAATGCTATTGTCGAAACTGCAGTACAGTTTTCATTCTTGGTGAATTGGCATTTGAGGCATTCAAAATTGATAACCAAGTATTGAAAGCAATGTAAATATTTCGAAGAAGCCTGTATGCATGTGTTTTTTTTGTAGCAATTCTTGTTCTCGATTTTTCTCAATCACCTTCATGATGTTGATACAGGTGATCTTTGTGCTTCACTTTCGTATTACGTTGTCCGAATGGCAGCTCTGGCCTGCAGATCTGCATCCGATTCTAATCTCAAAATGAACTTGAGTGATTCCAGCACGTTTGCTCTTGCAAACTTAGTCGGCTGTATGATTAATGACTCTACATTTGAGAATGGCAAAGTACCTTTAAGGTGATGGGTTAGTGCTTTTACTGTTTGGCTGGTGGATTTCTCATTCTGCCCTTCTTGATCCTTTTTGAATCTATAACTGCTAAATCAGAGTCTTCAAATTGCTTTTTGTTATGTTTTATAATTCGTCTCCTATTGGTATCATCTGCCAAAAATTCTGGCTTTTACATGTTATCTCGTGTTATTCTTTGTTTTCCTTTTGGACACTTCAACTGCCTATTTGTGCTTCAGATCTGGAACTCGGTACTCTGTGTATGAGGCATTTCTATAGTTTTTTTTTGAGGTGGAATTGGATGTTTTTCTTGCTAGAATTTTATGAAAATAATGATTTTGAATCATATATATATGCAAATTATGTTAAAATCTAAATTAAACTCAAAGGAAATTAATTTCTTCAGAATATTTTTGCTGCTATTTTTTCTATATCTTCTAATGAGTCTCTGTTTCTTAAAGTTGATTTTTTATTCTAATTTTAATACTCTCATAATAATTTACATCAATATCAATTACTATGATTTTAGTGGTTGGTAGAAAAATAGATAACATGTACACGATGTTTAAGTTCTAAGACATCTTTTTTACAGGTTGCTGCTATGGCAATTAGATCCAATTATTCTGAAGCAAGACATATCTAATTTTCTGCGAGAAACTATGGAAAGGCCATTTTTTTCTTTGAGCACGGAAATTTATGGTAGGACAGAGTGGAAATCAATAATGATTTGTCTTGTAATTTCACCTCCTATGTTCATTGAGACGAGGGCCTTGTTGCATAATTGGTTCCTAATGACGTAAGTATATAATATTGTTTACATTTCTACATGCTTCCCAGCCGAAGTCGCTCTACTTCACTTTTTAAGAGTTTACTTGACAGCATTAAATAATGCGGCTATATCTAACATCTCCCATATTGTTGCAAACTGCACAATGCTGAACACTCATATTTTCCTTTAGATTATGAAAAACTATAGATTTTCATTTCAGTAGCTTCATGCATAAACTCGGTGTATCTATCACTTGATTGTAACACTTTTTCTGTTTAATTTTACTAATAACCATATATCAGCTTTAATAAATCTGATTACTCATTTGCTCATTTGGTAGGCTTGGATTTTCATTACAGGGGTTTGGCTTCTATTATGGAACTTCAGACTGAGTTTGTCGTGCAATTGCTTGATATAATCTCCAGACCAATGCGGTGGGAAATATCCATGGAGATTGGATCAAAGCTGCCATTCTCTCATGCCTACTTTCCGCACGAACATAGCCTATTAAGAACTTTGGCTGGACCTATATCCCAGGAACATATTGAGCTACTGCTTGCTAAGATATGTGGCTCAGATTCTCGTTCTGGAGGCAGGAAAACCACAACAAAGATCGGTATAGTAGATCATAAGTCCACGTGGTACCTTCTCAATTCAATTCAATAACATGAAAATCATTTTAAGTTGTGATTTTTCTATCTTACGTTGTTAATTTTTGTTTAATTGCATACAGGGCCATGGTGATGAACTTCCCTGGTTGGTTCTTTTTTGCATCTATGTTGCTCTTCTCATATATCGGTCAGAAAGATAAAACTTGTCCTGCAAAGTTTATTGCATGGATTCTGGACCCCACAAGCAAATCTAGTCAACGGCAGGCTGTTGACTGCCTCGTTAAAGTTACAGATTTATGGGCTCTCAAGTGCTCCAGCTCAAGTGAAAAAAAGAATGAGGAAACAAGTATTCATAAACCTGCTAGGAGGCTTAAATTACAAAGTAAGAATGGATTAACTTCCCAAGACCAGGATATTTTGCCAGTTTCTCTCTGGCTCAAAGAATTTCAAGACACTTATACAAAAATTGATCTTTTGACTTCAAACAGCAAAGGATTCATCGTCCAACAAAACCTATTATTTCGGAGGATTCCATTAGGAATCTTGCTTGCGTGTCCTAATCATTTGGGCGATGCATGTTGTTCCTTGCTTTTGCATTATGCTGCTACTGGTAATCTACCGAAATCCAAAAACATGCCAAATCATGGAATGAGCCAAAAGAGATGGAAGAATGATGTTGAGGGGGACCCATTGAGACGGATCGAACTGTATACTAAGCCAGATGCTATTGCGGCGTGTAAAACGGTCTTTGATATAACAGATATAGCTGAGATTATTGCTCAATCTATGTTTCAGAGTGAAGATGAGGGACTAGATTTTGTGTGCCGGTTGAAATTGAAGATTGGCTATTATCTGTTGAAGTGTGTGGATAGGATACTTCAGATCAAGCTTGACGGAGGTGGGCCCCAGATGAAAAGGGATCTTCTTGCTAGAATAATCAAGTGGAAACATCAGGGGAAAATTGTGTTTGAAAACAACAAGGATCTGGATCGTCTATGTGATGCTCTTAATTGTGGAAACAGATTCCTTCCGAGCTGAGTTTTCTACAAGGTACATCAATTTACGGTGAGGTAGCAGAAACAAATGATTAATTTATTTTTTTAATCCCTTTACTTTCATCAATCTTTGTGAAGTTGATTGCCAATATAAATTTTGATCCATCTGTATGAAGATTCGAGGCGTTCCCATGTATGGAATTTTAAAATTGTGAGGATTATATATCTATGTGACTGCATTAATTGGTTTCTACTCCTTGCACACTAGAATTTGTTACTCAAAGATTTAATCTCTTGTCAATTCTCTGAACAAGATGGTGAGGATTTGAGTAAGCTTTACTATATATATATACCTAGAAAAACTTTCATCTTTCCGTTAGGGAATCTCAGAAGTGTTGATAACAGGGGTGAGTGACCAGAGATTTTATGCTACAATGCTTATTCTCAATGTTCAGTACCATATAAGGTTTAAAAGCTTCTGACTCTTGATTGGTTCTCCTGCAGTAAAAGCAGCTGATGCACAACGTACAACGGTAAAACACCATTGTGCTGAATGTCATTGCATTAACCGTGAATCATGACGCAACCTTCTCACTGGAATCCGTGCTGATGCTTATCAGATTCTCTTTCCCATTATGGTTATGGAAATTGGCAAACAACTAATTGGAGCAAATTGTCAAAGCTGTTTTCTTGATGCTCATTCTTTTGTGGTGCCTTAACTCGTGGACATCGAGGTTATAAAAGTGCATGGTGACAGACTAGCTATTTATAACTACTCTGGGCGACTTTAAAATTTTATGGGTAGACCTTTGAGAAAGCTCCGGCACACTGATTTGGTATGTTCTTCTAAGCAGTTGTTATTTACAGAGTTGTAACTTGCTGCTTGTGTAGTATAAAATTTGAGCACATAGTGGCTTTCTAACATAGTCATGATATAAGAACTTAAAGGCAAGGTTCCAATTCAAAATATATTTTTCTCCTGCTTTCTCCTTTAGGTGAATTTATTTTGAGCCTCGTGTATTATTGGGATCGTCTTATTAAAAATTGGGGGCCTTAACTGCACCGTAAACCCCCCTTCCTTGTGCTGCAAACAGTTATTTCGATGGTTATAGTTTGTCGTATATTGGGATCTGAATTACTTACAAAATATAATGTTTCATTTTACCTCATCATTAAGTGCTGCAGCTGTAGTTTTCTGTGGGAGACAGAAAAGAAAAAATATGTTTGCTTTGTTACCGAAAAGAAATTGGTCTTAGTAATTGGTCTTTCGTTACCGGAAAAGAAAAAATATGTTTGCTTTGTTACTGCATACGCCAATAATGGCTGAAAATAACGATTTTCAATTTGAAATTTGTGTGTACATGTACAGGAATACTTGGAAGAGCTTGGAGTAAGAATAAATAGAGAATGAGATGCAAGTACAGGAGTACTTTTTTTTTTTCCTTTTTCTTTTTTAGTGTTTTTTACGAGTTTTCTTCTTTTTTCATTTTTGCTTTCTGGCAATTAGAATGAATGTAAGGGGTTTTTAATAGACATATTTTGACAGCTAAACATGAACGAAAGTGAATTTGCCGGGTAATCATCAATAGGAGATTGTTCAATCAATCCATTGGGAGCTAGCTGAAACTCATATGTTTAGACCCTTGCTATCATCTATGTGGAAGTGTATGCCAACTTAATAGTTTTGCAATTTTTATGTATATGCATTTTAGATCTTGTTATGTATGACATTGTGTGCAGTGAACATTAGCGGTAGTGACCACTGCTGCTATCGGAAGTTGTTGAATAAAGTGAGTGGGCCCTTGTCCGCACACAGGAGGTAGTCCCTATTTGTGTGGAAGCCCGAGCTAATGCCTAAGAATTGCCACTCATGATCTGAGAGAGTTGAAAAGAATGATCGTGGAGGTTGTGGTGGTTGTAGGACAGAGGTTGTATTTTAATGTTGTTGCTACGTTGGATGCGCCTTACTAGACGATGAACGATTGAAGATCAAAGCACCTCGACAAGACGGTTCAGGCCGTGGGTCTCGGCAAGGGAGCGACTGAGTCTCGACAACCACGCAAGTATGGAGACCGGGGATCCGGCATGGCCAGGTCACGTATTGAGTGGTTGTGACTCAGGCCAGCCTCTGGTGGTCGAGCCAAAGTGGTTGGACGAAAGGATTTACCGAAAAAAGTTGATCGGTGGCGAGTTTGTGTGCAAGCCTTGGCGAATTTTCCAGCATAGTGAAATTTGAAATTGTTGGTTGGGCGTGGAGCTCGTAATCGTTGTGCCTTGAATTTACTTGATGCATGTGTGTGAATGTGTTGCTTGCTTACTCTGCGTGAAATACACTATTCCGACTATTACTATCTAGTGCGTTTAGTGTAAATTGGAAAGGGCTGCTAGTTGATTCAACTAGGCTACATAGGGTGTGTTTGTGGCGAAAAATTTATTGCTAAAAACTTGACCCTGTGCGCAGTTGCGGCCACGTCACAACGCTGACACTGGCATAGTGGCGACCGGATTGACAGAGCACCGTCCAGGCCAGAAAGTCAAAAGTCATAGGCAGATGTACGGGTAAATTTGCTGGAATCGATCAGTAAGATTACAAAAGGCTAGACCTAGGCAGACAGTGCAGGCACACCGAGCTTCTCGTAAGCGCACGAGAAAATTGACGTGCGCGACAAGCCAGCAAGATGGGCGCACACGCATGCGGGCACGCGATTTTCACACCGGTAGCCCAGTGGGTACGCGTAAACTGGCATTGCCGACAATGTTGCACGAGACGTATGTAGTACGTTGGCACGCACGGCAAACTCGAGCCATGTAGGCAATTTCCTCGGCGACGCCAGGGCTGTTGGGCGACAGAATGAACGACGGCAGGCCAACACGGGCGACCCTCGGCGACAGCGCGCGGGACGCGGCGGCGACCAGCCAAGCTGGGCTCGACAATGGTGGCAGCCATTTTCCGGCGGCCAAGCATTTTTCGGCTAGAAGACGACCTCAAGACGTCAGTTTTGATCGAAAGAAGCGAATAGCTAGAATTTGGACTGAGTGGGAGTTCACAGTTCCCACCAGGCATGGCCTATCCGTCTAGGGTAATTAATGGTCATAATAGTTGAATTAAACTAGGATAATTAATGGTCATAATAGTTGAATTATTTAATTAGTTTATTCCATATCAATGTAAGATAATTAATGACCACCATAATTTTATTATTTAATTATTTCCATGTTTATAGATACTAGTATTCATCCTGTGCACATGCACAAAAAAAAAAAAAAA